CAGGTGAACATCTACCTTAAGTTTGATGTTTTACAGTTGTATTGCTTCGTTGGTACTGAAGTAAACTAGCATGAGGGCAAATGCATCCCTTGAAGTCTTCTTAACAGTCAACTGAGTCAAGTAAAGCCAGAAGAAGATCCCAAGAGAGCTTAGTCTTGATCTGAATACTTAAAACTGCTTCAATGCCATGAATAATGGTGTGGAGCAGGGCTTTGTGAGGTGAACATCCTTCCACTGAACACTGCCACGGGATCTGCAATGCATTTCACATGCACCACCAAACCCCCAACAGGAAACAACTGATTGCTGACACTTTAATTGAGCTCAGCGCAGTTTGAACTGACCTTCCAGACATGAAAGTATCTCTGCAGTGTTACCCTTCCATTGGTCATTGTGGCCAACATCCACCAATTGAGAAGCCTAAATTTCCCTGGAGTTACACCTCCATGAGGCTGATCGTTGTGTCTGGGAATAAACCTGCCTCTGCAGCTACCTACTGGGAGCAGTCTGTTGGACTGTGATGCTCACTGAGGTGGTTCCGCCTTCCCAGAGGAGAACAATGGCCGTGGACACTACCATTTCCTTTTGAAATGGAGTCCTCTGAATTTTCTGGTGCCCCTGTTGAAAGTGTCACTGCACGTTCCCAGAGCTGTGGTATCCTTTGCAGGAAGCAGGTGACTGCTGCCTCTGAGGTGGTCGCTTGGGACAGGACCTGGACTCTTAGTGGGTTTAGGTGTTCTGAGATGAAAGCTGCTCCAGGAATGTGAGTTATGTTGCTGTTCAGTAGCTTCAGTCTGAGTCAATATTGTGGTTTCATTTGAGAAAAGCTTTAGAAGAGGGCAATACTCCCGCCCAAATAATAGTATCAGACTGCTCATTCCAAGGTTCATACATTATACTTTTTAAAACTGTTATTATAAGTTAGCCTGAACCTGGAAACTTTTCACAGCGTATTTCCTCTGTCCTCCGGGCTGAAACCTGGGAACATTCTGGCTTGATTCATCAAAGTACCTAATCATATGCTTAACTCTGAACACATGCTTACATCCTATTTGAGTGAAAGTTAAGCCTGTGCTTAAATGCTTTGCTGGATCAAACATCCCACGTCTTGTAGGATCCCAAATCTTGCAGGACAGAGCCCTAAGTGATACAAGGCCGAAAGAGAGTAATTTTTTGTTTTGCCAAAAGCCAAATGACCTTTGCGTCAATTGTACATGTTGTTACCATGTCCCTGTGTGTGTGCCGAACACTAACGGTGGGCTCATCAAAAATCCATTCCTCCCATGTGCAAAGAGAGGGGCCCTGAGCAGTGCTGCAACGTGAGGCTGAGCTACAGAACAAGCCGGGGGGCAGGGGGACAGGGACAAGACTAACAGAGGCAAAAGCAGCTGGGACAGCAGTGCAAGGGAAGGGGAAGTTAGAAACACCATTAATGCTTTAAAACCTTGATACTGCAGCATGACATTCTGGGCCCTTTTTAGTCAGTCATAAGTCCTTCTTCAGCTTCAGCAGGGCCAAAATATCCCGTGTGGTCCCCAGGCAGACCCCTTTGCTCCAAGCGTTCCTGTGGGGTTCTTCACCACAGCTGCCCACATGCTGTGTTTTGCAGGGGGGGAGCCCTGGCACCAGGTTTTCAAATGGCTTTTTTCAGATCTGATTAGACCCCTTGTGCTAAACGCTTGATTTAATTATTAAATGACGCCACTTACAGAAATTGAAAAAATAGTTGAAGGAACATGTATTTAATTTTAAGCTGCCGTCCTGTCCCTAACCCATAACACAATTTTTTGTACTTCTCATGGTCCTGTTTGTTCCTGTAGCGTTTATTGACTGCCAAGGGAAATGTTTTGCCACTAACTGTAGATGAAGTAGTTTCAAATTCTCTTTGTGAGTAACTTCAATTCACCCAAGAGCTCTCCTTGCCTGGGGTGAACTTGTTTTTTCTTAATAATGGCATGAGGCCCCAGATGCCTATTCATTTACTCTGTATGTCTATAAGTACACTGCAGATTTGATCCTGTGAAATACTCAGTGTGTTTCAAGGGGGGGATCCAAGTATGTTGCAGAGGCAAACCTTAATTTGTATTTTCTCTACAAGAGCAGCCCTTCTGTACATAAGCGCCCAATACCTTTAGCCCTGCATGCAAACTGGAAAAATGGGGTAGTTCAGGAAAAATAACCATGCTGGGCTTTTGCTAGGAAGAGCG